ACGACAAACGTTCTGGAAAATATTAGCGTTTCGTGTTCGTTTTGACTTCGTGTGGACGGGGCCTAAGAGATCAAAAGACTTTGGTTCAAATTGGGTGAGATTTCGTATAGTCAGGTGGTTTATGCTTTATGCAGCAGCTGTCACGTTACGCAAAGCCAGGGAAACGGCTTTATAGAAGTCTTGTTGATGGTGGTCGTGTGATGCTTGCAGATAGATTGGTTAATCCACAATGTGTATTCGTATTGTGTTTCATGCATTTGACTTGGTTGCAGGATATACATCCTTCCTCTGCCACAAAGTCTGCAACTCTGCAAAACCTGGATCCAACATTTTAGTAACATGACAGTTCCAGCGTGTCATTGTCCAATCAGAAAGTCTCAGTATCTTCTGATTTTCTCTTGATTTAAGTGACTCCTTCAGTCCAATCTTTGGACAACTGTTTAGTTTTCCCCAAAAGGCTCTTTGTACAACGAATGTATGACCATGAGTTTGTTCAGTACAAGCCTGTTTGTAGGCTTCCTCATCACTTAGAAGGTTCCTTCTAGGATGCTTCTAGGAAATCTATTTTTTTAAATAAAATAACTTTTGAGTCGGATCTGAACAACTGTTTTAAATTGGCATCTTAAAGCAGGTGCTCCACAAATCTAAGGGGATCTCCTGTAAATGGCTTTTGTGCTGGAAGTCTAGTCAAAGGAAGGGACTCCGCTTGAAAAAGAGCAGGGAGGGGTTTACCATTAGGCAATACTAGGCAGTTGCCTTGGGCCCCAAGTTCATGGAAATCAGAAAATGATTTCAGTAGTTGTTCACAGACTGTAAAAATAAATAGATGTAAAATGATCCACATGTTGCTCATATTAAACAAACCAAAAACAAATCTCATATCCTGAGATTTCCTTGTTTAATATGAGCAACATGTGGATCATTTTGCATCTATTTATTTTTACTGTAACAACAACTACTGAAATAAACAAAAACAAATCTCATATCCTGCTGCTCAGTGGCGCAGTCGGTAGCACTGCTGCCTTGCAGCAAGAAGGTTCTGGGTTTGATTCCTGTCTTTCTGCATGGAGTTTTCATGTTCTCCCTGATCATGTGTGGATTCTCTCCAGGTACTCCGGCTTCCTCCCACAGTCCCAAAACATGACTGTTGGGTTAAAGGAATAGTACACCCAAAACATGATTAGCCTTCATTTTCTACTCCCCCCCATGCTGAACAACACTCTGGAGTACTTTTTTGATATCTCAAATGCATCTGGAGATCTGGGAGGCTTCTTGCTGTCTGCTGACATTCAANAAGATTTCCAGAGGACTTCACCATTGAAATTCACCAGAGCTATAGTAAAACTGACAATGCCCACGTGCATGGCAGCTGGATGCTGGAATACATCGGGGAAAAGTGAATAAAAAAAAAAGCTATTTCACCTTCTTGATCCTTCTTCCAGCCAGAGAAAAAACATGTAATATGTAGCCAACATTTGGAAGACATTTGACAATCATGGATGCCTCCAGTAAAGCACATTCAAATGAAAATGACTCTTAATTAAAAACACTTATCGTAATTTTCGGACTATTAGCCGCACCTGAATATAAGCACCAGAAGCTAAATTGCTAAGCCGCACCGGACTATAAGCCGCAGGTTTTTATGTTTAATGTCCGTCTTTCTCGCTGTAGTTCTGTCTCGTACCACTCGCAGTAGAAGTCTGCTTCCGGAGGACCTCCGCATTCCCCCGCGCACGGCTACGGTAATTGTGTGTTGAAGCAAATGTGACGTCAACATGGTGGATGGTAAAATCCATAGATTTAGGTATTACCCTAGTGGCCGTTAGCTGTAAAAGTCCATAGATAAGCCGCATTGTTATATAAGCCGCAAGGTCGAAAAATGGGGAAAAAGTCGCGGCTTATAGTCCGAAGATTACGGTATTTATCGGACAGTATGTAATAATTTCATATTTAAAGTACTTTCAGAAGTTTGAATTCTGAATAAGACCGGACTTGACTGGCTCTGGGGTTGCTTGCGTTTTTTCCACACACGTCCTGGTCAATAAAAGTGTTGGTGCTCTGCATGTCTAGCAAAGCATAAACCGACATCTCTGGTTTGTCTGACGTTACACATGAAAGTCACACTGGAACAGTCATTAAAGTGCGATCACTGTTCCCCATCCTCACACTTCGTGAGGTTTGTGTACTGAACAATCTTCATGGAGAGGAGAAGGCGGGTTTCGTCTGCACGCGGTACATGTCACTCTTTGTTTGTGGTTTTTAGAAATATGACCAACCCTAAGGCAAGCAAAGCACATATTGTTATTCACAATTAACTTTTTCCTTTCTCCAAGAGACATTGACTTAAACTTTTCACATTTGTAGATTCAACAATTTTGTTTTG